CCCCACTTACTCGGATTTTTTTTTTTTCACTCGTTCATCTCTGATCGCCGATCGCAGTTTTTTTTTTTTTTTTTTTTTTTTTTCTACAGGGGGAGGGGCTCCGCCCGAGTTTGCCATTCACCTCTACGTGTACTTTTTTTTTTTTTTTTTTTTTAACATGATGGGCATTGATGGCTCTCCATTCTATTGGTGGGGAGCGCCACCTGCTGGAAAACGTTTCTTGTTTTTGCCATGGGCACTGGGCCGGTAATAAAGGGGATAAAGATAATACTAGGATTGAAAAAAAAAATTAGGGAACCTCGGCAAATGTGGCTCTCATTCCAACAACAACAACAACAACAACAACAAAAAATAATAATAATTAAAAATTAAAAAAAAAATTGGGACCCCCCTCTATTGCATTCCCTCACCGAGGCAACGAAAAAGGATCCTGCTGCAGCTGCAACCGCATTAAGCAACGGCTTGGGCATAAGGACGAGAGACCCGGCTCCATGTCCATCGCCATAGCCATGATTGCTCGAGCTCGGTGAGGTGGTCGTCGTCGTCGTCGTGGTGACTCCCTCCTCCTTGCCATCTTCAGGCAGCTCTGCATTTGCTGCTGCTGCTGCTGCTGTCATCGACGGCTCCTGAGCCGTCCACGTGGCCCGCTCACCGCCCCCATAGCCAGCCCCCGCACGGCTCAACCCCCGTTGTCGGCATTGCCGCCGCGATGACGTCAACAACAATGGCGGTTGAGGGGTAGTGACGGGCCCCAGACCGCGAACAACCCCCCATTCGGCGGAGAGGGGCGAGGGTAATCTGAGGGCGCTGGACTTGACACGTGGCGTTCCAGAAGGGCAGCCATCTGGCACCCCGGGCCCCCCGGAGAGCAACGGCTGGGAGGTAGACATGCAGCCCACCGTGGTCGTGGCCGCCATAGCCGTTGCTTGGGCCATGGCTATGGTTTCTCCCTGTCTCTTATACACATCTAGATGTGTATAAGAGACAGGAGGAGACCCCTGCAAGCATTGTGCTTTCACTACCTTCCTACCACTACTCCTAAGACTATATAGAGGGGACCCCTGCAAGCATAGGGCCTCACAAACGAGGTAAATCATGTTGCCCCCT